TCTTTATTTAATTGCGATAAACGTTCTGTTTTCCTCTGCCGAGCAGTTACACTGCAGAAATGACCTTATACTCTCTTCCATCTGCCCCTTTACTGTAGTGGACACACGTATGACTAGCACTGCAGACTCTGTGATTTGGTGTCAGGGAGCTTTCTGGAGAAAAACAGTCCTGGATTTTCGTTACTACCGACTTTCAGCGCCACAAACAAGATGGTCTTCTACTCATGGAGAACTTCTCCGTCACCTTTCACCCAGCTTTTACCTGTCCTTGGGCATGTGAATGACAGTGCGGCAGAGACTGCAGAGCACAACAGACTGCAGATGTGACCGCCAGACTCTGCAGGCACCTTGTACCCATGCATTTCATTCAATCTTCATCTACGTCGGTCTCAAATTTATAATGAACCAACTGGCATCTAAATTCTCCAGGAACTTCAGTCACACGCTGATCAGCTTTTTGCTGGCACTTCTCTAAGCCTTTGTCTTCAGATCAGCCGATGTACGTTTCAATAAAAAGTCCGATGTCCCCCAAAGAGGGCCCTACCTCCCGGAGTCCAAACTCAGAGACATCTGTTATTAATCGCATGACGACTCTCTCTCCTGGCACACCAGTTAGGCACTTCCCGTAGCCTGGGCCTTCAGCGAGGTTACTGTTTCGCTGTACTGTAATTTGATGTTCGGATGACGAAGGGAAATGGCGCGGTTGAAATGTTTTGCCCAAAGGTCAAATCCAGAGGTCATCCTGCAAAGTAACTCTAACACAGGGTCTCCCAAAAGCCACCATCTACTTAAGATGTTTCCCCCCCCCATCTCTTCCCTCAGCTTCTCTTTACCTGAACTGCAGCTGCTTAAAACGCAGGTCTGTGGAATTCCAGTACTGCATGATGTGCGTTAAACTCTTTCACAGTCACGGATGTTGACTTTTCATCTGCTTAACAAGGCGCGCAGACTCAACGCCACGAGCTCGCTAATCATTTCCACCGAGTTTTCAGTCTGTAACCACTGGCCAAGTACAGCACAGAGGGACGAAGAGGAACAGGCAGCCTCGCCTAACGCTTCAGTCTTTAACTTGGGATCTC